TTTAATCATGTTCCTTACTAATTTGGGAAATATAATTCAGAGCATACAGAACCTGGGAGATATAACTTATAGTTTTGGTAGTTTGGATAAAATAAATATTAAATGCAATAGAATTTGCTGTAACAGTCTTAATATGTGAAAGCTCTAATGACCTTTCAAATGATACAGGAAGCTAGAAATGATGAGCCATGATATACACCTGTTCTTTTTTTGAGACATCTCCATGAGAGTTCTTTTAAAAGAACTTTTCAGAGAAGCAACTGGGCAAAATACACGGAGCCAAAGAGACAACCCATCTTTCAACTAGAAACAAAAGGCTCCCTAAACCTTCTTTTTGTGAGTCATCTACTTCTTTGGCCTATTCTGATTTCATTTTGAATCTGAGCTCTAAGTGTATGCTATCCTCCAGTAGTAATAATGTGATCCTCTACCCAGGTTACTTCCTGGGGCTGATGTACCCATCCCTCAGCTGCTAGAAACAACAGCTTCTGGGTTCCTCATTGGGAAACATCATCAGCTGCAGCAAACAGTCTCACCCAAGGTTGTGCCCCACCTAGAGGGTGGCCGGAAGTCAAGGACTGCTAAAATGGGGATGTCAGTGGCTCAGCCCTAAACTGGGAACGACTCCAAAGGACTGGCTCAGCTCCAGAACTCTCCCACAGGATCGAGCTCAGTTGTAATCGCCTGTGGATCAACTTCTCCCTCCGCACATTCTTGCCTTCCTCACATCCTCATAGATGTATCTCCCTAGAAAACCTTCTGTCCACAACTCTTAATCTCAAAGTCTATTTACAGGAAACCCATGCTATATCACTCCACAACTCTGATCTACTTTTTCATAAGTCTGGCTATTTCATACAGACTTGTTCCCTATTTAGTGCTTTCATTTTACCTAAATCTCAAAACCACGTTTTGATGTCCAGTTAGATTGGTTTTATCTTTCTGACAATGTAATACATCCACAATTTGGCCAACTGATGTACCAAACTTCAAAAGGGACAACGTTTTTACAGGTAATTTTGGTTTTATAGAAAAAAATAACAATAACCACAACAATAAAATTAACGTTAAATTGTATCCCTCTCCACGGTGATTAGTAGGAATCCATGTTGACATGGTCAAACCCAAACACTTCATCCATCAGGCAGGGTTTGGTCCCACATATCAATAGTCACCATAATTTAAAAGTGTATTCTATAATTTTGTAAATTACATACCACTCCTGAGGTAGGAAATACATCACTAATACTTCCATCAGCTTCCCACGCTACGGTTATACGACCATATGTTCCTTTTAAGCGCTCAACATTCAAGGTTACTAGGCTATCTTGCTCCATTTCTTCCACTTGCTTATATAATGAGTTCTAAAAATTACACAGAAAGTCACAAAAGGTTATGTGAAATTACCTAAATAGACTTTTCTTTATTTCATATTGTTATGCATTTGCAAACTTCACAGTACTAAGCAACCTGATAAAGTGAAAAACAATTATTAATAAAAATAATA